TCCATACCTCTGATTGTTTAGATGCGATTTTTTATATAAGTATGTAACTCCTCTATCGATGTATGCAGATGTATTCAAAAGCAGTAATCTGTCAAAGTAAAATTTGCAGATGTTCATGAAAGGTATGAAGCCTTCGGCATAGCCGAAGACAGCGCTGCTCTTACTTGTTTTAATGGTGTTTTTGTGTCGAAAGAGTATTTCACGTGATTTCGAAATTATATGAGAATCATTAGTACTGTTAAAGAGGGCTTCGATGGCTGATTTACTGTCCGTGCATATGAGGAAATTTCCTTCGTTTTTAGAGGCGAAACGTACAGCTTCTAGCAATTGTAAATGCCGAGCAGTACGCGGAAAAAACACCGACGACAATTGTAACACCAAGCCCTTTTGTTACCGCAAAATAACAGCCGGTATCATATCTGGAACCGACTGTGAAAATAAGCTCCCAGGTCATTTATGAGTAGATAAGATAAAAATATGCGCGAAAAATCCCGTTATATGCGCTAAAAATAATCACAAAAATCAGCGAAATATGCTCAATAAAAAAAATATGCACAATAAAATTCCTTTATTTTGATTAAAAGAAAGACAATGTTATTTACTGTTACAGAACAGATGCATTTACTTCAGTGTCAGTCTTACAATACCTTTCGCATTAAGCCTCTGATTTTAGTTACTAACTAATTTAAAGCGTGAGCAAAAAAAATTTAAACAATAAAAGTGAATATACTACAAATTGTGTATTACAAAAAACAAAACGAAAAAGCTAAAAATTCATTCAGTGTATTGCACACTTGTTAAGTACACAAGTACTATGTACATATTAGGCATATGACTGTTTCTAAAAATAAATATATGTACATATTAGAGGAGGATGAGAAAAGCTGGAAAACCCACAAAAACAACGTTTATATAAAAATTTGGTACACAAATTTCACTCAGGGAGCTCCGAGAAAAAAGAAATTTTTACTGAAAAAAACTTACATGCATATGTATGTACATATGTATACGTGAAAAATTCCATGTGAATTATGACTGCGATCAAAAATTGGTTTCTAAATTTTTATTTTATTTTTTTAGGTTGACTTAGATTTCGAACTTTTGAATCCGAATCTTAACAACAATGTTAGTCTAATAAAGTGCATGCTTCAAGAGGCTAAAAAATTTAATGGATTGTTAAAGACTTTTTTGCTGCGGGATTTTTGTACTTTTTTTCATATAAACATGAATTTATGAAGTAAAAGACCGTTCGCAAAGAAATTTCAAAAAATCAACACCAGATTTTATAAAATGCACTCGTTATATAAAAAAAAAAACACTTAAAAACCAACGCGATTTTTAGCCCCTTTAAACTTGCACTTTATTATACTAACACTTTTTGGGCTACAAAACTGCACACCCAAAAATGTCCTAAGATTCAGATTCAAAAGTTCGAAATTTTTGTGAAAATTTCTTGAATTTATCTAAAGTTTGTATTAAGTTTGAAAAATTGATTTATAAGTTTTGGTTAAAGCATGAAAAATATTGTTTTAAAAAAGATTTTAACTTGAAAAACATTATGGATATTAAAAAAAATCGACATGTGAACACTTGACACTGTATATACAATTTATGGAATTTTCGTAAGTGGTACTGAAAAAGACATATATGTATACGAAAATTCCAAGTCAACCTAACAAAAGAAAATAAAAATTTAGAAACCAATTTTTGAGCGCAGTCATAATTCAGTCGACATGGAATTTTCCAATATATGTATGTATTTATGCTTATCAAAACACAATCTTTACATGTCCTCTTTAACATCATTTTGGTTATTGCAGTATACAATCATGTGTTGTTTTAAATTGTCAAGAGTAAATTTCCTCAGTAAGAATCAAAGAGTATGCTGAGAAGCTACGCCCTACATCGCATGATGTTACAGGACAGTATTTGAAATTTGCCAACTCACTTGGAGTAAGTTTAGTTACATATTCAGAAGAAAGTTTCTTGCTCGTGAACAACAACTTTTCAATGACTTGTATATCTTTAAATCCTACATTACGTGCAAAAACAGCTTCAAATTTGTTTAAAAATGCTTTGATGACTTCTTCACATTTTTCACTTCCTTGAGGCTGTTTTTCAAACACAATCCTTTGGTCTCTAGGGTGGTTATGGAGCGATGAATTACAGCAAAATTTGATTTTATAAAGGCTAAGTCACTAACAATTGTATCACTTGCAAGCAAATTTTTAGCGATGCGAATCGATTCGCTGTCCTCATCACTCAAGCTCTCTACCAAGGATTTTATTTCAAAAAAGTTCTCGTTGTAATATTCGGCTGCCTTCAACTATGTGCCCCAACGTATTGTTGATGGCATTGGTGGTAATGGTAGTTGAGGATACGTTGTTTTAAATTTCTTTCGGCGAGATGGCTCCTAAGAAAGGTGTTAAGAAGTTATTGTAAATATCACCATTGACATGTAAAGATTTTACCTTTAAGAAAATTTATTTTATGCACGATATAAGCTTATTGACGTCTTCGTATTCGCTACGAATAAATTCGCAAACACGGAGAAGGCCATGTGTGAAACATGATATAAGAAGCATCTTGTAAAACAAAGTCTTCAAAGATCTCATTGCAGCAACCATATATGGCGCCGCAACCAGAACGTGGTCGTATTCAACTCCTGCAATGAAAAAAGGATTTACAATATAAGAACGTGTTAAAATACATAAATAAAAAAAGCAAACCTTCAGGCCACAATATAATTAAGGAGTCGTTAACGAACGCTGCAATATTGGTGGCGTTTGCTGCATCTACTTCGCACACATTCAGTAAATATTATTTATCTTTTTCCTCCACGTCGTCCACATCCAGTATACCAAATATAAAATTTGCTATCAGTCGTTGTTCCGTATCTGTAGTCTCGTCAATGGAAATCCAAATGTTTTTATTGCGAGCCTTTTTGCACATCATTTCCATGCATTCGCCATATAACAACGGCACATATCTTTGACGAAGTGTACTTTCAGATGGAATGATCTGATTTGTATAATTTTGCAAAAACTGAACCAGATGAGGATCAGATATTTTTTTAAGTGGAATGTTCGATTTTAAAAACATTTTACACAAGTCCATAGAAAAGGGATGTGGAGATTTTTCTGTGCATTCCTTTAATAAAACCTGTTGCGGAGCTGCTCTACCTAGCCGAGCTTGTGATTGTTTTTGATGTCGCGCAGTAGAAAAATGCGTGTTACTTGGAAGGTCCTAGGCGCGTTTAGGTTTCTATCACAGCTTTTACAAAACAAAACACTACCGTCGCTACGTAGTTCGTCTTTGTGCTCATTTGCCATTCTCGTAAGGAATGCACGGAAATTTTCTTTGCNTATCACAGCTTTTACAAAACAAAACACTACCGTCGCTACGTAGTTCGTCTTTGTGCTCATTTGCCATTCTCGTAAGGAATGCATGGAAATTTTCTTTGCCCTTTTGCATTTTATTTAACAAAGAAATCAAACAATTTTGGAAACAGCTGCGCGCGCAGATTTGACAAGTGCATGACTTTAGATATTTTGTGTATGCGAAAGAGAGACGACTGTATGAATACCATATTGAAAAATTTGGCAGGATGTAAAGTGCTGCAGGATTTTTTATGTTAAAATTAAAATATATGTAAGGGATGTATTTATATAAACTTAAAAAACACTAACAAAAGATTTTTAAATAATCTTTTAACAAAAAATATGCCGAAACTATGCTTGTTAGTTAAAATATGCGCTATCACTTTAAATATGCTTTCACATCCAAAAATGGCAAAAATATGCAAAAATATGCTTTTTATGCAAATCCATATTTTTATCTTCTCTATTTATGAGTATAGAACTAGGCGAATGCCCTTGCGGTAGAGTTTTTACTTTAGNTTAGTTAAAATATGCGCTATAACTTTAAATATGCTTTCACATCCAAAAATGGCAAAAATATGCAAAAATATGCTTTTTATGCAAATCCATATTTTTATCTTCTCTATTTATGAGTATAGAACTAGGCGAATGCCCTTGCGGTAGAGTTTTTACTTTAGTAGTTATCGGAGTAGATAGGAGTTTAAATCTTTGATGTAGCTTAATATACGAAATAAAGCTGATTTCTTGCTTCATCGGTTTTTTTGTTGAAAGCAGGATTCGACGTGAGAGAATAAGGCCCTTATTATGAGTTGCATTCGATTTTCGATCTTCGCTGGTTATCGAAGATCGAAGATCGAATGTAAAATTGGTATTATGAGCTATGTAACTCTGTCGAAATTTTCGTTGAGTATCGAATTTTCAGTCGAACAGAATTTTGCTTTCGATGCTGTAGCGTAGTGTGAGAAAATTGTTGAAAATGTAAGTATTTTGCGTTTGTTTTTTATTTTTTAGCGTCTAAACGCTAGTTTTAAACAATTTGTATTAATTTCATGCAGGTCGTGAGTACTAAACAGCAACTCGAAAGGCTGGTTTCATTAATGGAAGAAAATCCTCAACTTGCGAAAGGGATTTGTACGAAGCTTCAGGCGGCAAAAAAGTGGGAAGATATTGCGCTGGAGCTCAATTGTTTAGGACCACCAATTAGAACGACAGCAAAGTGGATTAAGGTGAATTAAAGTAATTTTTCATTGTATAAGAAAATTTCAGCTTTGTGTTTTCAGGTGTGGGCTGACATGAAATCGAAGACCAAAAAGAAAATGTCACAAAATAAGGCTGAATACCGAGCAACAGGTGGAGGACCGAACAGGCTTCAATCGCATACAAATATTGAGGAGGTCATAATTGGATTACTCGAGCTTGATGCCTGTGTGAATCCACCAGGAGCGGAATTCGGCCTAGATATAAGTAATAATCTGCGCCTAGATTCGCCTGAGCCGGCTCCAGCAGATGAAAACCAGCCACCATTCGATTTGGAAACGAGCAATGAAGACCGAAACTATGTAGTTGGCGAAAATACAACACGAACCCCCAGAAAAAAACNTTCATATCTTAAACCAATAATATTTATGAATTTAATAAAAGATACTGGAATACCTTTATTAATACTTTTTCAGTTATTTACAAGGTTCTTAAAATTTCATTTCTGATGTCTTCTGCTTCTGAATTCTCAATTGATTCCATCTCAACGACTCCGGCATCATCGTCGTGAGGCTCATTTGAAAACTCTTCTCCGTCGGGTATTTCTACATTATAGAATTGACAAATGTTGTGCAAAGCTGCGCACACATTTATTATTTGTGTAGCTTTCTTTGGAGTGTAATGAAGAGCTCTCGCCTGCAATAAACATCTGAATCTATTTTTTAAAACTCCGATTGTTCGCTCTATAATATTTCTGGCTTTTGCATGTTGTTTGTTGTATGTTCTTTGAGGAGATCCTTCCTCAGAATTTCTGAACGGCGTCATCAAGTATGGTTTTAGAGCGTAACCAGCATCACCTAACGTGGATAAAAATAATTTAAAAAAAGGAAATAAATGTAGGTTTTGTATTTGATCATACCCAGTAGCCAAGTATTACGAATACCATTATGATGTTGCTGTTCTAAGTGTGCTTTCAATGATGACATATGAAAAACCATGGAATCATGTGTCGCTCCCGGATTTTTTGCATTTATGTATCTTATTTTCATTGTGTGATCACAAACCTAAAAAAGTACAAAAGTGTACACATCTACAATTAGTAAGAATCTCTAATGTATGTACGAAAATATATATACTTACAACCATAGCATTAATGCTGAAGAATCCTTTTCTGTTGTAATATAAACGCTGGAATTCCTTCTTGGGAGCGACAATTTTAATGTGCGTCCCATCAACACAGCCGATTATTCCTGGAATTCTGCTTTTGCTGTAAAAATGTGCTTTCGCTTGTTGCAGTTCAACCCCTGTGTAGATGAATTTTATCCATCTTTGGCAAATGAAATTTTCCAAAACATCAAGCACTTCTGATATCACCACAGACACCGTGGGCTGCGCAAGCCCAAGCATATTTTCATTCCCAATACTCAGTTGGTACGATCCCTGAGCACAAAATCGCAGAACTGTTGCTAGTTTTAAGATATTTGCAATAGATTTGGCTCGAGTGCATTGCTGCAGCAGGTCTTCTGTAGCGGACAGCAGGTCCACAAACGCCTCTTTAGACAGTCGGAAGTTTTTTATAAATCTGTAGACAAATAATTATAAATATTATATAAATATGTGAAAATATATCCAAAAGGCTAGACTTACGCGGTTGAATCCATTTCTAAGGGATTGGAAGCGTCCCTTAAACGTTTTCTATTCCTGGCCAGTTCCACTAAACTCTCATCCTCTGAGGAATCATCGAACCAAAACTCCGTTGTACTCATCTTCACAAAGTTCTTATCAGCCCGCTTTATTTTTTACTTAATTTTAATTAACACAAATTTACATAAAACGTTGTAATAAACACGCTTTCTTTTCTTTTAGTTTGCTTAATATGTAAACAAAGCATCTCAGCTGTCAAAAATATACTATTGTGAACAACCTAAACGAGCGAAATTCACAATAGCGCTATTCTTCATCGAATGAGCGCCATAATACCAAATGAAAATTCGTTCGCTCAGCACTTTCGACTACAGTCGAANCTCATTTTTGCGCAATCTTTGGGATGGGTATCTTTGTGTTATTCCTTGCCTCATGGTTACGGTTTTTCTGATTGCTGCATGGCATGGTGTTTCTAGCAATTTAAGATGCTTTTTGCACAGTGCCCGTAAATTACGAGTCCAAAGTCAATTTTTCCTAATATAAAAGTCCTTATTACATTTACCATCGTAGTTATATGAACTAAAGAATACTTGGATGATAAAAACTTTATAATATTTAGTCTAGCAAGTAAGCTTGATCTTACATTATGACAGTGCTGCTTAAAAGTAAGTTTATTGTCAAAAATTATTCCCAATATTTTCAATGTGCCATAGTGGATAGGGGTGTCATACACGAAGAGGGTTGGATGTATACATTTGTGTTTTCTGCATATGTAAAAAAACCGAAATCTTAGCTCCTAAAGATTTGGACCAATTGGGTTGGGAAATGGGTCTGTAGTTAGAAACTAATGAGTTTTTTATATTTAGTTTGGCAATAGGAATAATAATAGCAGTTTTTCACTCTTGGTGACCCTTGAGATAGGATGGAGTAATGGAGTTTAATGAGTCTATGTTTGACGGGATATGAAAGATTTTTTTTGTTGTACCAAATTTGGTTTCGGTTGGACAGATATACCGAATTAGGTAGAACTAGTTTAGTCTGTGCAAAACAAGTTTAGCCTGGGCAAAACTAGTTTGACCTAAGATCGGATTTTACCGGTAACATATACATACATAGGCACATGTAACTTACCTGCCACAAAAAATGTTAATAAAAACAATTTCCCAGCTAAATTATGTAGATAGAGGATTTTGCTCTTATAACAAAATGCTATTGCAGATAGTGGAATTTTCAACATGAGAATATAATACCATTAAAGCTATATTTTAAGTTTGACAATATTGTCATGAATGAAAAACTAATCGGAGCTCACGTTACCATCAAAAACTCATTTTGATCAAAATTGCAGATAGAGGGTATTGAATATAAGCACTCGATATATGTCGGTTCAAGGCCATAATACTTGTTTGAAGCATTTTTGTTCTAGCCGAATCGGACGATATCATTTTTGGAGGCCTGGGTGCAGATTCTGTAACCAGTTAGCGACAATTTTCGAATCGGTATCGGTTTTGTTGACGTATGATATGAAATATTTTTACGTCAACAAGTGCGATACCGATTCGAAACTTGTCGCTTATTAGTTACAGAATCTCCCCCCTGAAAGGCTTCTTGATTCGTCAAAGCATTTTTCTTGAACCTTGGATCGACTAAGGCTAAAACTGATAAAATAATATTTCTCCGTTACGATAAGTTCAAGTTTTTTAGCCGATATCATATCGTCGCTTAAAGTACAAAACCGCGTATCGTAATTCTGCAAAACCGCGTAACTGACATTGGCTGCCAAAAATTGGATTTGCTCACACAAGCTCTTTGCTCAATCCTTATCCATTCCTCCTTGAAATATACTAGCCAGAAATGCGATTGCTTTATAAAAAGAGAACCATTTTGAAATATGAGTGTTTTACGCTCTAGAAAATAATTTCTACAAGTTCAATTATGCGGTTTTGCATTTTTGCTGATACGCGGTTTTGCATTTAGTTGATACGCGGTTTTGCACTTTAAACGACGATATAAATTAGTAATGAAAGTTTTTTCTAAACTTGAAAAGCATATAATGGCGAAGGATTGATATAAAGAATCGGTAACGGGTACCGAAGAGGAAGTATTGGGTGCCAACAATTCAGCACATCACTAGAGAGCAGTTTTATTTTCCGCTCTCATTTGTCAACTCTACGATGACGTCACGCCAAAATTACTCTCACGAATTCTGCTGCAATCGGCGCAATCTTGTATTCTATCATTCTGGGGTAGATCTCTTCTTCGCAGGCGTGTTATATTTCTTGTGTTGCACAGGCCACTTACCAGCATGATGCATTAATACAAGGTGTCATCGGCTCTGATTCCGCCATATTGGCGGCCTTAGGTAAAACAGTGTTACTTCTTTAACAATTCTTTGCCCAATAATACAGTTGAACTTTTTTTATTTTTTCTCAGTATACACATTTTGTTTTCTCGAAAAGGTATTTTATCTTAGTTTATTTCATTTCATTACGAATATACTATAAAAAAGCAAATTTTGTTTAGAAGAAAATATGAAATTTGATATTTTTCCCCCCAATGGGGATTAATTTCTTCCCGTTTTACGTCTTATTCTACTGAGCAAAGATAGTGTCAAATCGAGCTGTCACAACTGATACCACCTTGTATTATTGCATCATGACTTGCCAGTGGATTTGGGTTGTTACGCAGTTTTATTTTATATTCTTCTCTGCTGCTGTCGATTGCAGATTTAACCATCGGTATACCAAGGTCCCTATGTATATTTTCATTGCGGATATACCACGGTGCTCCCGTTAAGGCCCTTAGCGTTTTAGATTGGAATCTTTGGATCCTGTCAATGTTGGTTGCACAGGTCGTATTGTATTATATATACATATTATTATATATAAGTGGTGGGGTGCAAAAGGCCATACGCAATAAAGCCATATTGGAAATAAAGCCATATTTTTTTGGTAATAAGGCCATAAATTCGATATGGCTTTATTTTCAATTACAATTGGTAATTAAGCCATATGGCTTTATTTCGCCTTCAAATTTTTATGTTTCTTTTATTTGAATGGAAAAAGTTCGCAACAAAACTACTAAACCGCCTTGAACTACAACGTCACCTTAAACATGCAATTACTCTCCTTCGCGTCCAGCCGCGCCGCGCTGCGCCGGCCCCCGCGCTCCGCCCTTCACACGCGGCCAGCAAATGTGCACCCGCCAGGTTATGCACTCGCAAAATTAAAACTTACCTAAGTACATATATTTATTTTTCAATATCCAATAAATCCGGAAATATTAAATAATGATTTATTTCATTTTATTAGTAATAATTTGTATACATTTAAATAATTCAGTATCAGTTTCAAAAGTGTGTCCAAGGCGAATTTAATAATGAATTACAACAAACACATCATTTGGACGTAATGTTCAGATAAAATCCAGATTCGCCGTTAACACCGCCTTGAGAGTGTCATTCCAGAATATGGCTTTATTTCTCATTTGCAAAATTTTTTGTATGGCTTTATTTCTCTTTCTGATTGGAAATAAAGCCATATGGCTTTATTGCCTAAAAATATGGCTTTATTGCCATATGGCTTTATTGCGTATGGCCTTATTGCACCCCACCTATATAAGTACTTTAGAATCTAGTTTCAGTTTTGATTTACTGTTCACCAGTTCAGCCAGTTCACGCTAGCTGACTTCAGCTTCATTTGTGTAATCTTGATTGATATGTGTTTGCGCCAAGTTAGTCTCCTATCTAAGTGTATTCTTAGATTTGCCACCTCATTGGCTTGTGGAATATGGACATTATTTAATTTGATTGGGGGCATCCTTGCGGTCTGAGTGAAAATGTTGTATGTTTACACCTCCGTTCGTTGACTTTTATGCGTCAGTTTGCCAGCCATTCTTCTATGCGTCGTAAATGTTCCTCTAGTACTCTTGAAGCTCTACTGGGACATTTATTACGACTTCCTAAGGCGATATCATCAGCAGTGTTGCCATTTTAGTCGTTTTCCGGCAAGATTTAGCCGGTTGCGATAGCAAACAGCCGGAGAAATTTCGATTTAGCCGGCAGCCGATTTGTTAGCCGTTTTGCAGAAAAAATTAGCCGTTTTTAACCGATTTTGTTATTTGCCTTGTTTTCTTAAATTTCAAATATGTATATTAGACTGCATCACCAAAAAAAGTTGTGGTTTTTCCGCCGGGATTACAAAATTTATCATATTCTAAGACGTCCACCAAAATATTTCGGAAAAATATTAAGATTTAAGTGAGCTGGACCGATTTGAAAATACCTCCAAAAATGTAATTTTTTATGAATACAAATAGTTTCTTAAAGAACTTTTTGAAAAAAGTCCCCTCAGATGACAAAAGAGATTAAGCTTAAAAAATCTGCATAAAAATATTTAAAAATCTTTTAAACGGAATCGTAAGAATGAGATTTTTGATGCTCATTTTTTTTACTTTTTTCAAAGATTGATTTACGAAAAACTTGAATAACTGGGCCAAAACTATTCTGATTTAGACTTATGGGATCTCAGTTGAAAG